AACTCTTAAATGAAAAAAAAATTCTATCCTTTCTTTACGATTTATTTTTTTTTTATGTAAAATCTGCTTCTGTACATCCACACACTTTGTTTCTTTCATATTGTGCAAATTGTACATTCTGCGCAATTTAAAATATTCTATAAATGTGTAAAAATTCAGAGTCTATTATTCTATTTTTCTACCTTTTTTTTCTTACAGAAGAATGAAATTTAAGAAAAATTTGGTATAAAATCTATTATATCTTAAGTCTTGATTTTTTTTTAGGATTTTATCATTAGTCTTGTGTATATTTTTTTTTTTAATGAAGTAAATTAAACTAAATTGTTTTAATATAGAATTATTTTGAACGATCTCTTTTATAGTATAGTATTTGAGCTATTGAAGATATAGAACAAAAGTTTCCAGTTTTTAGATACATAACATTTATTAGGAAAGTATGTAGAATTTTTAAAAAAATATTGACTTTTGTGAGGAATTATATGTTTTTAAATGAAATGTCTCATTTTTCATGAAAAAAATTCTTTATAGAAATATCAGCAGCAAAAAGATTTTTAAATATATCGTAGAAACCCATGCTTCGTAATAAATTATGAATAATACTTTGAATTCATCGTCGTTCGTATTTATGTTATTTCATAAGAAATGGAAAAAGAAAATACACAAATATTCATTAAGACTTATATAATATAAACTTTATGTTAAATTGTCTTTTAATTGCATTCTTGCAACAAGAAAAAAAATGCAAGGATCATCATTAATTTTACACACTTCAAATGGTCGTTAAGTGTTCGTGAAATGTCAATACGATCAACGAAATAGATATCATAATTTCTACGATAGAGAAGTATTAAGATTAATTTCTGCTTTCGTCTTTGATCTTTTCTCTGCTAAAGAGCGAGGTTGATGCAAAAATATCGATTCGCATAATGTCATTCGTTCGCGTCTTTATCTATCACTTTCGACATTTATTCTCAAGTTTCCAGTTGAATACGCGTAATGTACAGACTTTAACCATCACTCAGGATTTTCAAAGTTTTATATATTTTTAGCAAAAATTGAAAAGGCATTACACATGTACATATTAATAATTTGTGTATTACTATATGTATATTATATTTTATTATTTACTACCGAGCATTTATTGTACGAATAATAAAATTATAATGTTTGTCAGTTGTATGTACTAGTTATATTGAAGCTGAAATATCAATCATAAAATCTTTAAAAATGTATTCTTGTATTGAGAAACGAAATATTGCAAAAAAAAAGCAAACAGTGTGTATCAAATATGTTGTAATAAAAGCAAAAAGAAGAAATACAAGCTATTAACCCTGTAAATGCTTACTGAATTTTAAGAAACAAAAAATAGGAACATCGTTTCTTATTTTATTATTCTATGATACTAGCTTTTTTATATTGTTACTCTAAGAACATTTATAAATTTATATGAAATACTATTCTTTGAAAAAGAAGTTCTATTTTGTATGTTAAATTTACTGCATTGGCAAACTCAATATCACATAAGTGAATCTTAAGAGATCAATATGTATGTGTGCAATGTCATACGTACAATACTTATATAGTGTATATGTACATATGTGAGTATCTAAATGATTAATAAAATTCATTGTTAAGCCTCTAGAGATGAAACTTTTAATATTCGTGATAACTTTTGCAAACTTTACAAATTTTAATACAAGAGATTAGATGGTATATCATCTTGTTTAATTAATAATTGAAAATAAAGTTTCAATTTTTGAAAGATCAGCGATGATAAGCATATGTGGGTCAGAAAGTTCCAGTAGGTCAAATCCTTTCAATTTTATTAAAAACCATGTGAAATATAAAAAGTTAAGGTCTCAATTTAATAACCGGGAACTATACTCATATATTAAAAAAAAAAAGATCCGATACTTGGACCCATCGAGCACTCAATCTTTTCCACAAAAATTTAATATTCGTTATTTATTAGCTTCCGGTCTTGTATGACTCTCTTTGCAATACAGATTATACATTGAATATGTAATCAAACGGAGGATACAGAGGAATTCAAAGTATTAGTTCAAGATTATTACTTATATAACAAAGATCAGGTTATATTATATATCAAGTTAACTAATATAATGGCTAATATAAATGAATTAGTTATCATATTAGTTAGCCTGATCGAAAAGAATGTATATCATTACATTATTGATTGACGTTACAGGCAGTCGAATAATCCGGCGGATTGTTGCTCGGTACTAATAAAGACCGAGGGATGCGAAGAGGAACCGGAAGTAGATGTGGAAGGCGTCGAAGGTGAAGCACTTCTCACGGAAAATAGAGAAAGCAGTATAGAACCGCCTCGACGGAGGGATAGCTCCGATCCTGTCAACTTAAGTTTAAATTCTGGAACTTCCACTACTAGCGAAAGTTCGCACGATATTGTACCTAGGTACAAAAGCTTCAAAATATTCTCCAACGTTATTGAATTGAATAATGGTCTCGAAGTCTGTGTTACATTTACCATATTTCAAGATAACGTTTGCGATGTAAATCTTCTTCCTTAAGTTTCACAACAAAGTGCTTCTACACTGTACTATTTTACATTGTACTTGTGTTTTACATACATTGATCTCTACACTGAAAGAATCTCCAGAGAGTGTAGAATCATACTATACTGTTAACTCAATTGTTTCGTCCAGAATGTAACATAGATACTTCGATACTTCCCATTTTCGTAGCAAATTTATCGTATCGTTCTAAGAGTTTTATACATGGCACGGTTCACCTAGGCCAGAGAAGCAGTTATTGGAGAGGCGAGAATCTCTAGAAGAGGCGGAAGAAAGAAGGAGGCAATTAGCGGCTCGACTCGCGTTAGGCTTAGAACCGGGTAAACGAAAACCCGAGGAAATACCTATCCCACCTGCGGAGGCGTACATCGTGACACCTCATCGAAAACGAAGGCCAGGCTTTCACAATGCACCCGCACAGAATCCAGCCTTTGTACCGTTTAATCCTGGATTCGAGACGCCGAGAAGGTTGCAAGCGCCACATCCTCTCAGCGTTTCAGCACCTCCGTACCTGGTACATTTTAATTTTCTTTTACACATATATATATTATAGTAACCCACTGGATCAAGAAATGGCACAATTACTTTCGAGTTAAATTTTTTCATAATAATGTCAATTGAATTAATCTGTTCGAAAACTCCGAAATTTGACCAATGTAAAAAATTTTAAATGTGGTAAATTTTAAATTGAAATATTATTATTGATAAATAATCAACGTTAAACACTATATTTGGACGCTGAAAAATTATATTGGTAAATAATAGTAAAACAAGAGGGCATATTTAAAGTAAGGAGAAATAGACAACTTCAATCCAAGTCTAAGTGTTCAATCGTTAGATTATTGAATAATGAATAAAATTTCATTGTTGCTTGATGTCCAACTCCACCACGTAATCTTTCTGTTCGAGTTTGGAAACAGAATGTTCTCGATTTTTTTTGTTCGAGTTTCGTCATTCGAACATCAAACCATTCGAAGATCGAAAGAAACCCAAAACGATTAACAAGGATTCTTCGAGTCCACTAAATAAAAAGTATAAAAAATATATTATTTTTCTCTAAAATGTATCAATTTTATAGAATTTTGGAAAATACTATAAAATTATTTTTATTATCATTTATGTTTTAATAGTAGTAAGTAGACCAATATGCATGTATAAAATGTCTGTATTTAAAAGACATCTTCCAAACCGAAAATATAATTAACTTAGATGGGCTCCGTGTCATCCACTTCTTTCATAATTAGAGCTATCTTTCTAGAGCCAAAAGTGGAAAAATGCATGATAAAATGTGCATAACATGTAGAAGGTCACAAGGAAAACATATAGTGGGTCACATTTCTAAAAAAAAGCATTCAAAACGTCTTTAAGATTCGCATCTATTTCCCTCAGTGTTTTTGAAACAAGCCTGATGAATACGATCAAAAAGAAAGTATTACGAATAGAATATTGATTCACTTGAGTAACATGCCCTAAACTTTCCAGCCTAGTACCAGTACTAATTCCAAATAACAGAATATTTCAATAACAGAAAATCTAACAATTGAATGCAAAATTGTTGCCTGTCTAATACAAAGTAATGTGTACGTTTTGTAGCAGGACAGGTCAGTGACACCGCCAGGAGCGTCACACAGACCACCAAGCGCAGATCCAGCATCGGCGGCGGGCTTGGAGCCACCTTGGGGCTCCTGGGCTCTGCCACCAGCCAGAGCACCTCCACCTCCGCCAACGGACGACCCGCCAAAGTCTACCCCCGTTCGCGAATATCGGTGCAGCTATTGTGGCAAACAGTTCGGCATGTCGTGGAACTTGAAAACGCATCTGAGAGTGCACACGGGTGAAAAGCCGTTCGCGTGTAGACTTTGTGTGGCTATGTTCAAGCAAAAGGCTCACTTATTGAAGCACCTTTGCTCGGTACACAGAGGCGTGATAGCCGCCCCTGACAATACTTTTACTTGTTGCTTCTGTTCGTTAAGTTTCGATAGTTTACAAGAATTGATCAGGCATCTGTCCGGGCCGCATAACAACTTGCTGCTCAGCAAGAACCTACACGACTAGCGACATGGATAAGGCGAACCGGTGCTGAACCGTATCTCGGTCGAATATCATCGTGCTCCTTGCAAATCGAACCGAGCATGCTTCGATCCTGTTCAGATCAAGAAAATAGGTCGCAGTATAGCCGTCGAAATTTCAATCAAGCTGATTTTCTTTCAGTATTCGAACTTTAGATTCAGCGT